TAAAAGTGGTGGAGCTCAGCGGATTTGGGGCAATGGGAAGGGTTTGCAAGCAAGTGCTGCAGAAAACACCATGAACCGAGACAAGGAGCTTTTAAACAGGGAAGTTCCCCAAATGTACACACAGTATTGAAACCTCTGGCTGCCCAGGACCCTCTGTAAGCCTGGGTGTAGCACAAAGTATGGCTGAAAAGCCATGAAGGGAGATGCAGAAAGCTCCTTTGTTGCTGTTGTCACCTCTCTGCTGATGTGCCATCAGGATGATGCAGCACCAAGGGGGTATGGCAGAGCTTTTCCCCTCGCTGGGGTTCTCCAAACAGCTTCACCCTCCTTTGAAAGCCACCACATTAGAGGTGTGCCCTTTGGCCACTTGGTGGAGAGCAGAACTTCATTACTTCTCTCCTGGTAGGCAGATCTGGAGCAGCTGTAAGTCATCCTCACCTCTGCTGACTCCAGGGAAGCTGTGCCACTTCAGAGCTGCTGACTCTGATCTACTTTTTTCACTCCATGGCAGTTTACCTGCTTTCTTTTTTGGCTTCAAACCTTTTGTTCTTCTAAAAGATGCTTCCTTGCTGTGCAAAGCCAACTGAATATGGAGCCTGGTAGCCTGTCTGGCCTTGTCACAAGTGACATATCTGGGAGTTTCAATGCATGTCATGGCTGATAGAAAAAAAAAAACCCACATAAAAATAAAAAAATCTAACAATTTCTGCAGTGTGCTGATATGGATTCATGATGCTGGGTGTTTGTGGCATTGTGGGTTCTTGAAAAAGACCTCTGAAGATGCTGTGGAGTTTGTTTTGCTCATGCTCGTGAATCCACTGGCCACACAATGGAGCACAAGGAGTTAATGGAATAATGGGAAGGTTTGGGTTGGAAGTGACCTTAAAGCTCATCCAGATCCAACCCCCTGCATGGGCAGGGACACCTCCCAGCAGCCCAGGCTGCTCCAAGCCCCATCCAACCTGCCCTTCAACACCCCCAGGGATGGGGCAGCCACAGCTTCCCTGGCCAACCTGGCCCAGGCTCTCCCCACCCTCACACTCCACAATTCCCTCCTCAGCTCCAACCTCCAGCTCCCTCTCCCACTTTTCATCCCTCCCCCTCATCCCATCCCTCCCTGCCCTTGGCCCAAGTCCCTCCCCAGCTTTCCTGGAGCCCCTTCAGGCCCTGGAAGCTGCTCTAAGGTCTCCCTGGAGCCTTCTCCTCTCCAGGCTCAACACCCCAGCTCTCAGGACAAGCTGCCTTCCTGCTGTTGCATCTTGCTGCTCTGACTTTCTCCTCCCCTCCCTGGCTGAAACTGCAGCCTTGCACTTCAAGATCTTTCATAGCTTCAGGTGTCCTGTGGAGCAGGGACCTGTTACTCCTGAGACAAGGAATGTTCCAGGCAGGGCTGTGAGGTGTCCTACCTGCTCCAGCCAGTGAGGCAAGGGCCTATCTGGGATTAGTGCTGAGGTTCTCAACTTTTTGTGCAAGGCCTGTCATTTATTTGCTTTCCAGACGCTTCAGCTGAAACTGGGGTTGCTTTCTGCTGCCATGGGGGAAAGCAACAGAAAGGTTTGTCTTTTATGCCAGTTTAAATTGCAGAGCAGAGGATTGTTATCTCTGGGCTTGGCAGGGTGGTGTGGCAGAGCTCTGTTTTGAAAAGCCTGGTGTTCTTGAAGGGCACAGTCACTTTTGCAAGTCTAGCTCAAGCTGCCAGTGTCCTATAGGAGTAGAAAAAGGCAAATGTAACTCTCTGCATCTCAGGATGCAGCTGGTGAAGCTGGATACTTTACTGGTTACTCTCTCCTGTGCTGTCTCTTGGTGCTTCCTCCCCTGAGTTTGCTCCAGTAGGAGCTGAGGACCAAAAGGGCTGCAGGGATCACAGAGGGGTCTGCTCCTCAGTTGCCTGAATTAGCCTGTGGAGCAGCTGGCACTGCCAGGGTGGACCTGCTTCTGCATGGAGAGGACCTTGTGAAGGGTTTGGGGCAGTGGGATGTCAGAGCTGTCTCTGCCATACCTGGAAGACAAGAGGTGTCCATTCCACAGCTGTGATTGGGTGTTGAAGTGCTGAGAGCTTGGATTTCCTAACTAAAACTTGAAACCTGCCTGCAAATCAGCTCTCCTCAGCACTAGCAAATGGCACCTGAGTGTCTGTATGTGGCAATTTGGTGGCAGTTGCCTTTGCAGTTATGCAGGACTCCTCAGAACAAGCTCTCAAGAGTCAGGTCCCACCTGCTGTAGATCAACACTATTTGCTCATGAAGTTGTGAGCAGAAGTGCCAGACAGGACTGAGCAGGGTTTCTTTTCTGTGTGTTTCTTTAGTATCTTTAGTTTTTAAGGTGCTGGAATTTGATTCCTAAACTTGTTTTAACTGATGAGTTGAGCTGACACGTGCAGGGTTTTGTTGGACACACTCTCAGGTACTGAGTTCTGGTTGTGGTTCACCAGTTGACTCATCACCTTTATTTCCTTGCCTTCCCTGGTGGTGTTTGAGCTGACAGCTGCAATACCCTTGTTAAACAAAATGCCTGTGACAACACGAGTTGTTGAGAACACTAATGAGCTTTTATGAGGTGCTTTGAAAATAGTTTCAGAGAGTGTTGGTGTGGCTGGTTTCAGTGGTGGTGACCTTCATGGCCAGATAAATGGACCCTGCAGTGACATGAGCCCTAAGCAGTCTGCAGCAGGGAAGGAAAGAAATCATAGAATCATTGGATGATTGGGGTGGGGGAACCTTAAAGACCACCCAGTCCCAACCCCCTGCATGGGCAGGGACACCTCCCACCAGCCCAGGTTGCTCCAAGCCCCATCCAACCTGCCCTTGGATGCTTCCAGGGATGGGGCAGCCACAGCTTCTCTGGGCAACCTGGGCCAGTGTGGATTCCCCTGCCATTGAACATCTTGACTTTTCAAGGTAGAATTATTAACACATTGCTTAAAATAAGGCTGAAGAGGTTTTGCTTCATCAGGCTAACTTGGAAAATAATGCTTATCTATTTAATTGCAATGTTTTTGAGGAATTACCTTAGGGATATGTTGCTACCCAGTCTATGTGGAGATAAGGAAATGTGATGCAATTCACATGGTTATCTTAATTATAGAAAAGACAGCCATTTTTCTGAAGGAATGACAAATATGTGATGTCATCATCAAACATGATGACACTGAAGATAAATCTCAGTTGGCAATTAAAGCAGGAAAGCAACCCAGCAATTGCCCTCTGCTGAGGAAATCTTGATTGACAGTAGCATATCATGCAGTGGGGTCTGCTTCTCTTCTTCCAAATGGAGTGAAAAAAGAGTAATTTTGCTGCCAGTTGGATGAGATGTAGGTGCTTCTCCTGAGTTTCCTTGGAAAGGGAGAGCTTTGCTCTGCAGTGTCACCACATCCACCTCTGACTCGGAAGTTCTTCAGCATGTTCATTCTCCTTGCAAGAACACACAGCTGCTGGGAGAAAGAGAGAAAGCTTTGAGGTGAGGTTTAGTATAATAGAGCAGCCCAAACAAATCCTCTCTATTACAGAAGCAGCAAAATATCTTTGTTTTTCAAGTAAAATGAAGTGTAAACCAGAATGGCCAAGTTGCTCCCCCATGGGACTCCCCTGGCACACACCCCTGCCAGCCCTGCCTGCTGACTCTGCTGCTGTCAGAGGTGTTTAACAAGGATGATAACCCCACACTGGCACTTGCAACTCAGCAGCAGCTGGCATTCCAAAATGCATTTTCCACCCCTTGTTCCACATGTGCAACCTGGGTTATTATTATTATAATGACTTTAGGTGCCCTTCTTATTGAAGAAGCGACTCGCTGGAAAAAATCCCTGATGAGGCCTTGACTCAGCCATGCTCTTTTTTTTATTGCCTTTTTGCCATTCCTCTCATCATGTTTTATAGCTTCACAGTAGGGGACATTTCATTTCATCCAAAATGTGGCCATGCCCCTTTTTTTTCCCCCCTTTTTATTGGGTCTTTAAACAAAAACACACTTGGTGTGTGGGATGAGCTGCACTGACTTACTTGGGTATATAAGTCTGGACAATTCAGGACTCTTTCGGGCTTTGTATTTGCCCAATTTCATCACAGAATCATGAACCCCTGGGCCAAGACCACAAGTTAATCCCTCATTTTTTTTTTTTGCAACTCTTCCTAGGTTGAGTCAAGTCTATTTTCTTCCAAGCAAGTGGCTCTGGGCCACCTGCCCAGGAACAAGTCCCTTCATGGAGGACATCAAGCCTGAACCTTTAGAAACATTTTGTCTTTATCCAACATAGTGTCCCCTCTAAATAAGGTTATGAAATAGCAAGGACTGGAAGGCAGTAAAGTCCAGGTCATGCAGGGTGGGAGGATAAAGTAATAATTACAAAGGGTGATTTATTTCAAGCAGTTGACGTTCATTAACAAGGTTAAGTCTTGGAAGAAATGGGTTTAGTAATTGATTAGGATGTTATGTCAGGGAGTGATTCACACTTTGGGCAGGCAGAGGGCGGGTATAAAAGTGCTCCAGATCAGATCTTGTATCATCATTTCTCTTATTTCTCTTGTGAAGTAGGTAAGTTCCACCTGAACTCCTTTCTAACAAAGCCTTTGTAGTTTTGAAGTCAGGGTGAATCCTGTGCAAATAGCTGTGAAAATTCTGCCTTTCCCTCTGGCCTGTTGGTTGTTTCTTATTGTCATGTCATGAGAGGAGAAGGGGGAATGGATTAGAACAGGAGGAGGGGAGACTGAGGTTAGACAGGAGGAGGTGTGTGAGGGTGGGGAGAGCCTGGGCCAGGTTGCCCAGGGAAGCTGTGGCTGCCCCATCCCTGGGGGTGTTGAAGGGCAGGTTGGATGGGGCTTGGAGCAGCCTGGGCTGCTGGGAGGTGTCCCTGCCCATGGGGGGGTTGGATCTAGATGAGCTTTTAGGTTTCTCCAACCCAAATCATTCTGTGATTCTATGCTTGATCGTGAAACTTGTACGCATTTTTTTTTGCCTTATTTTAATACACTTCCCTTGCACTTCAGAATAACCATCTCTGAAAAATGGTGCAGTCCTTAAACCCATGCACTGATGGTGGTGCCACCTCCTGTGGGGTGGCTGTGCCCCAGCCCATCGCCGAGAGCTGCAACGAGCCCTGTGTCCAGCAGTGCCCCGACTCCACGGTGGTGATCTACCCTCCCCCAGTGGTGGTGACCATCCCTGGCCCCATCCTCAGCACCTTCCCACAGCAGAGTGTTGTGGGGTCTGCAGGAGCTCCTGAAGTTGGAACTGGCTTCAGTGCTGCCCGTGCTCCTGGGGGCTCCCACGTTTCTGGTGGGGCCAGATGGCAACGGGGGTACCCGGTTGGGATCTGCAGACCTTGCTAAACCTCAGCAGTTGTTGCTGCAAGAAGAATGTCTAGAAGATGACAAGCAGGGTGTAGATATGTGGCTGAGCTCCAGGGTGCAGCCTTTGGGGCAGCCATTAAGTGCATCTAATAGATCTTCAGATCTTCTGAAAAATCCATGTACATCCTTCTCAGCTTATCCTTCCTGATTTCCTTTTCCCAACACCTTCCTGCCCTTCCAAGGGCTCTGCTCTCCATGCTGTGGACTATACTGCTCATTCCTTGGGGACTTGTAGGTGTCATTGTGGCAGCCTAAAGGGATCTGGTATGACATTCATTTCAGAGCCCTTTGTAGACCCTTTCTGTGGCTACCCTAGGAAAGGGTTGTGGAGTCAACCAGCCCTTGCTCTGTCTGTGCTCTGTGTTTGCTCTGATCAGGGCTGAGTATCAAGGTGAAGTTGCAACAGGGAACCAACATTAATTATTACTTGAATCATCTTGCATCAGCCCCCAGGTCACAGGCAATTTGTAATCTGTCCTGTCCTGCCTCTGTATGATCTGCTGCTTTCTCATTAAACATGACATTGCAACATGGGTTTGGCCTCTGTGTGTGTGTTCTCCTCTGATCCTCCAGGGAGACCTTAGAGCAGCTTCCAGGGCCTGAAGGGGCTCCAGGAAAGCTGGGGAGGGACTTGGGCCAAGGGCAGGGAGGGATGGGATGAGGGGGAGGGATGAAAAGTGGGAGAGGGAGCTGGAGGTTGGAGCTGAGGAGGGAATTGTGGAGTGTGAGGGTGGGGAGAGCCTGGGCCAGGTTGGCCAGGGAAGCTGTGGCTGCCCCATCCCTGGGGGTGTTGAAGGGCAGGTTGGATGGGGCTTGGAGCAGCCTGGGCTGCTGGGAGGTGTCCCTGCTCATGAGGGGGGTTGGATCTAGATCTCTGGATCCCTTCCAACCCAAACCATTCTGTAATTCTATTGGTCTGCTTTAAGACAATGAGGTTCTTGAGGGCTTTGGTGGTGGGTTGTGGGTGCAGCTCCTTTCCACAGTGACCTCCATGCTGTAGTTGCCCCTTCACAGAACTGCTGCCCACATCTTTGCTTTCACTGGTCCTGCTCAGCTCTGAAGCTCTTTCCTCAGTACTGAAATTTCCTCAGTTTTCTGGCACAGTGTGTTCCCTGGTGCCCTCAGGATCAGCCTCCCCATCCAGGCAGTGACCTGGTGCCTCAGACCAGGAAGAGCTGGCATCACTGTAGAAGGATCTGCAGCCAAAAGCAGCTATTTGGGTATAAAAATTAAATTTCTGGCTTCACTGCTGTGCTCAGCATTTGACCCCAATATCACCTGTGTGTGGGAGGATGGATGGTGTGATCTTCATTCATGGAATTCTGAATTTCTTCAGGAATATTTTGATGATCAGCAATTCACAAGCTTTCCATGCTGCTGGATGTGGTTGAAATGTTATGCAGGGCATTAAAGTTTTGTTACAGAGTCTAATTCAGGACTGAAAGGTGATGTCAGAAAGCTGGATTATTTTATACTAGTGACCTTTGGAGAATTATTTCCCTCCTGTGTAAGGAAACCAGAGCTGCCCAGGCTTGGTAATGGTGTCCAATTGGCTGCTGATGAGTCTCTGAGGAGGTGATTAAACCAGATTCTCACCAACCACAGAAATTCTTCCCTACAAAAGAGAAATCCCCAAACCTCAAAAGCCAGATGAAGGAATCTCTATTGTTATGCTAATGGTGGATTTGGCAATGAGCTGAAAGTTTATTAATGAGGCCTCTCAGGTTGAACTTTCCACCTAAGAATTTAAGACTTGCAGTTACCACAAAATACCACGAGTCAGTAAAATCTGGATGTTTTGACAGTAGATTTCCGTGGAACTCTTTATAATACACCTTTTAATTATTCTGATATAAAAACTACTCATTAAATGCCCTGGGGCTTTTAAAGGACTAAAGGTATGAAGTATCTTACTAAGAAGCTACCAAAAATCTTCTTTAAAAGATGATAGGAGCATTTATTAATATCTTCTAGATTCATTATTGCTTTATGGGCTAAATATTTGTCTAAATATGAGTCTGTTGAACTCACTTCAGTAAAGCTGTTTGTTTCCTTGCACAATGGTCCACTTTTCCTTCAGTTTTGGCTGTACTATAACACTCTTCAAGTAATATTTGGCAAATGTGTTCAGCTTGTGCCATAGTCAGGGTCCCAATTTCTCACTTGGGATGAGTTTACTGTCTAAAAAGGATTCTTGTAGTGAATCTTTGTGCTGGAGGCATCTCCTGCAGTGTGTCTCGTGTCTGGGTTGCTCACAAGGTACATTTAAATGGGTCATTTCCCACAACCAAGCAGTAAATACTTCCTGCTCCAGACTGGTGTTTAGAAGTTAAAATGAGATTACAAGAGTTAGTTTTCTGTTAGCTAAATTAGCCATCTGTCAGATAATATCTGATGGGCAGGCACCAGGTTCCTCTAATCATCCAGCTTTTCTTAAGCCTTAGGTCATGAAACCCAATGAAACAGAAAGAATCTTCTTCACCCACCACTGAGCAAGTTTTGAGGACCTCAGAGCTTCCTGAGACATTAGGATGGAGCCATGGGAAAAGAGCACCAGTGCAATTGACTGATGCTTGAGGGGTAGGGGATGATCTGGATCCCAGTTCTGCAATGATCTGGGGCTTCTTGAATCACCTTGAGGTTCTTGAGTGAATTGGTAATAAAATGGTTGGTAATTAAAAGCTGAGAGCCTTGTGGTAGGAGCCCCTGGGGTGACAAATTGGTTTCCTTCCTGGTGTAGTGGTTGGGCTCTGGTGTTTGCATAAGGCTGACTTGTGGCAGGGTAGGAGATCCTGGCTATGCCCTGGATCCCTGGAGCTGGGAGAGCAAGGCAAGGCTGAGGTTGCTCAGCTGGGAAGCAGCAGTGAGGAACATTATGGGTGCCCAGGGAGGTGGGATCACAGCGAGAGTGGTGGCACCTTCAGAGCAAAATGGGAACCTGGAGAACTGTGTCCAGTTCTGGAGCCCCCAGCATAAAGACATGGAGCTCCTGGAGAGAGTCCAGAGGACTCCATGGAGATGATCCAAGGCTGGAGCAGCTCTGCTCTGGAGCCAGGCTGGGAGAGTTGGGGTGTTGAGCCTGGAGAGGAGAAGGCTCCAGGGAGAGCTTAGAGCAGCTTCCAGGGCCTGAAGGGGCTCCAGGAAAGCTGGGGAGGGACTTGGGCCAAGGGCAGGGAGGGATGGGATGAGGGGGAGGGATGAAAAGTGGGAGAGGGAGCTGGAGGTTGGAGCTGAGGAGGGAATTGTGGAGTGTGAGGGTGGGGAGAGCCTGGGCCAGGTTGGCCAGGGAAGCTGTGGCTGCCCCATCCCTGGGGGTGTTGAAGGGCAGGTTGGATGGGGCTTGGAGCAGCCTGGGCTGGTGGGAGGTGTCCCTGCCCATGCAGGGGGGTTGGATCTAGATGATCTCTGAGGTCCCTTCCAACCCAAACCAGTCTGTGATTCTGTCTCCCTCTGAAGCCCCCTTGCTCTGTTTGAGCAGGTGGGAAAAGCCTTTTGTGCTCAAGGGCCTCCCAGGGAGAGAAGCTGAATTTATGGTGGTGACCATTTCTCAGTGTTTTCCCTGGGGAACCCAGCCCTCTTTGCTGCTGACAGCAGGCAGCAGAAGGATTACAGATGTCTCAATAGCTTTGCTGTTTGTTTCAAAGGGTTGTCCTGATTTACTGCCCACGTACCCTCCTTGAAGGTGAGGGTGGAGGTGCTGTCCTTACCCTCCTCCTGCTGCGTCCTGATCTGGCTTTGTCTTGCTCAAACCAAGACACAAAGAATGTGTCCCTGCCCATGTAGGGGGTTGAATCTACATTATCTTTAAGGTCCCTTCCAACCCAAACCATTCCATGATTCTATGAAGTGATGTCCAAGCAAGGAGGCAGGACACCAGGCCCCTCTCTTGGCTGAGGCTGCTCTTTCCCAGGCAGGGAAATGGGTCTGTGGAGCTCATCTTTTGCTGGGGCCTAGCTCAAGGTCAAATGGTTTAAGTGAAAGCACTTACAAATGTAAAAAATAAAAAATGAACCTTGGTCTGGAGGAATAATATTTACAGCTCAGGGACTCTTGTGTTCCCTATTGCTGGTTTTCTGCCTAGGAAAATACTTCTCCAGTCTGCTCCTCTAGTTCTTGTCTTTACTCTTTCCTCCATTTTGCTCAGTCAGCTGAGGGATGCAGAGAGACTTGTGTGGGTGGCCACCATGAGAAGAGCAGGGGTAGCCATGTGAAGTGTCTCCTGAAAATCAGCCCAGAGTTGCCTCCTCACAGTCACTCCAACATGACTGTAGACTCCTGGTGTTCTCTTTGATGTAGAATGGGGCTTGCATGGACTCCCTGTTGCTCTGTCTGGGCTGTGCTTGTCGAACCACCTTGTTCTGTGCCAGATTATAACCTTAAACGTTAGAAATCTACATCAAGACTTCTCCATCTCCTAAGGTGATATGGTAGAGGCTGACAGGAACTCCCTGAATAACCTGGCAGTTCAGTTTGCAAAGGAGATGATCTCTCCAGCAAATGGTCATGGCTGGATTGCCTGTGGTCTTTTCTCTTGGGTGTCTTTAACCTTATATGTCCTTGCTCTCTTTCCTTGGCAGACCCAGAGTCTTCTCCTCAATCTCTTGCTGCTGAAAGTTCTTTTTCAAGCACAAACCCAGTTTGCTTCAGCAGTCTGTGTGTTTGGTAATGCATCCAGGTGATGCCCTTTTCTGGAGAAGTACTTTCATAAACCCAGGGTCACAGGTTAGCTAAAAATAAGGTAGAACTTCTTCCTACTCTAGGAAGTGAGTTGGGGCTGGAGCATTTCAGATGAAGATGTGGTGGTACCTTCTAACAGCTGAAGTCTAGAACTCCCTCTTATTGTAGGGTTGATTAGTGGCAGTGGTGCATGAGCACAGACAAAAGGAGAAGACTGGAGACCTGATATGATTAAGCAGAATGATTTTAATGAAAATGAGAAACAGGGAGGAACAGAAAGAATGAGTTTCAAGCTTTACAAAAGGGTCTTGAGCAAGCAGAGATTCTGATGCTGGATGACACATGCTCTTTGTGGAAATGGTGGAGTTTGACAGTCCAAACACGATTCTTGCTTGCAGAGTTGCTAGTAAATCCTGTTCCCTGCCAGCTGAGGCACAGCACGGGTAGAGAACAGGTACTTCTCTACTAGATGTCATCTGGGAAGTTTCTAGCTGAGCAAAGTGGACTTGTTTGTGGTGGTTGCAGAAAGTCGTGAATGAACTTAAAAGGCACTTTGCTCCCTCAGCAGGCTGGAAGGATGCCTCAGTGCTTGCTGTGATTCAAGTTGCCCTTCAGAGTAGTAGTTGAAGAAAGAGAAGCTATTAGAGAGGTAACATTTGGGGTAGTCTCACACAGCCTGGCACCCACAGGTCCCCCTGCCCTGAGCCAGAGGTGCGGGTACTCGGCATTTCTCAGCACCGAGAGCTCAGCCATGAGTCCGTGTCCTTCATTTCATTCCTTGGTTGCTCTTTCTGCTGCCTCAGCATGGAGAGCAGCTTCAGTAGAAGTATCTGTTGCCAAAAGAAGAACCCAGGGGGTAGCCATACCCAAGGCCATACAGGTTCCCATACCCATAGTAGCCCCCATAACCAAGCAAGCCTCTGCCCCCATACAGGTTCCCGAAGCTTCGGTAGCCGTAGGGGCTCCCATAGTAGCCATTCAGGCCCCCAAATCTGTAGCCATTGTAGCCATTCAGGCCCCCAAAGCCATAGAGGTTTCCATAGCCATAGAGGGAGTAGCGTCCGTTGTTAAAGAAGTCCCCGTAGTAAGTCATGGTTGATGGGTGAGGGTGGACCTGAAACACACACCAAGTGAGGTGAGTTGGTGGCAGCAGGAGGAAGGCTCAGGGCTCGGACAGGGCTGAGGGAATGAAACTCCCTCCCTCCTGCAGAGCTGCTTCATTCTCTCAACCTTCTCCTTTGGTTTTCTCTTCTCCTGAATCCCAAAGAACTTCTCTATTTCCTCCCTCACCTTTTGAGCATGGCTGACACCAGAGAAAATATGGGTTTTACCAAATGAGGACTGAACTTTGCCACCCCAGAAGCTAGAGAAATCTGAATACATTAAAGAAAAAAACCCTGGCTCAGATGAGACCAACAACCTATCACGTGCATCTCCTGATCTCCCCTAGAGCTCACTCAAGGTGATATAAACTCAAAGAATGGGGTGAAATGGAGGAATTTCCTTCCAGGATGTCTTAAAGCAGGAAATGTTTCATAAAGTTTTTATCTAGGGGTTTGAATTCCCAACACCTAACAAAGAGAATCTAGAACTGGAGATGACTTACGAGCAGCAAAACTTCAAATTTTCATTGCTTTAAAGCCTCCTATTATGTAAGAACAGAAAGAGCCAAAAAACCCTATAAAGTGAAGGAATTCCTTCACATTACAGAGAATTCTTGATTAAAGCAGGATGATCTTTAAGGTCCCTTCCAACCCCAACCATTCTATGCTAAATCAATAAATAAAATGCTTACAGAATGTGTCCATACACCCCCCAATATTTATAGAGACAAAGATCTGAATGTATCTCAGATTCATCTCAAAAAGAGAGCAGAGCCAGTATGGACTTACCTGGTTCTCTGAGGAGAGCAGCTGGAGAGAAGTGAATGAAATCTTGGAGCTGCAGGTCCCTTTATATACCTTCTAGATCTCAGGTGTGGGTTATACAACCTATCTTTGTACGTGCATTATTCCTTCAATGGGTATAATTTGAGTCAGTGATTTTCATATTTCCAGAGTTTGATGTGATGACAGACACACCTCATCCCAGCAGAATTTCTTTCATCTTAAAACAAGAAGAAATGGGCTCAGCACATTTCCAGTAGAATGGCAGGGAATTGTTTGTGGTTGGGTGGATAGGAAGCATTTGGGGAGATGTTTTGTCCATTACTGGTTGCACAGTTGGTTTGGAGGGAGTCAAGTCCAGTTGTTTGGCTTTTGTATCTCTGGTTCAAGGTGGAGGGGAGAGAAGTAGAAGGCTCCTCTTTGGTGTCCTGAAGCTTTTATTCACAGTCCTCATGACCTGAATATGCCTGGTGATATTGGTGGGGACCTCTTGGTTTGATTTTCTTTGTCTCAGGTTCTACAACAGCCATTTGAAAGACATTTTTCCGGCTGCTTTAGGAATGTTCCCAAATTCTTCTTCCTTTTTTAGAAGAGTTTCTTGTATGGTTATTGACTTTCATATAACACAGAATGCTTAACCTTATTAGGACTTAGAAACAGGAGACCTTGCAGAGACTTGTGACCATATTATTAAATCCAGGGGTGTCTTTCAGTGACAAACTATTAATATTTAAATCCTGCAACACTTTGCAAATTGGAAACATTAATGAGTGTTTATGAAGTGCTTTGGTATTCAAAATTCGGAGGAAGCCTCAACATCCTGCTTGCTCATTATTGCCCTTATTTTATATTCAAATTAATGCCAGAAATTAGGTGAAGGTCATACAAGGAGTTCTGCGGCAAGCTCTGACATCCCTTTCTATTTGATACCTGTGGTTGATTCTTCGGGTAGAAAACATCCATGTAGTTCCTTGTAAAACATCATCAAGTACATTTCACAAAATCCTTGTGATTTATTAGTTTCCAGGCCAAGTTCATACTTGTATCCTCCACTTTGCTGAACTCAAGGTCGAGCCCTCTCTTGAACTTGACTGCAAATAAAAAAAAGCTGGAAACATCCCTTCTGTGCAAGCAGCAACATGACTGCTCCTCACCATGAACACTCAGAATGCAAAGCAGATTTATCTGCCCAGCTCCTGTTTCCTGAAGTTGCTGTGGGCTTGAGTAAAAAAACACCCAAACCCTACATTTTAATTTATTTGAAGCAGG